TGTAATCGGAGCCCATAATTTTCCAATCACTTTGGGTTGTAATTTATTATTTATTGTTTGTATTATTTATGTTGTTTCCAATTTCTTGAATATTTATTCAAATTAATTTGGTAAGTTATTTATGTTGTTAAAAGTCCATGACCATGACCATCGTTCTAATTAAAAGTCCTTGTATAAAATAATTAAAAGTCCATCGTTCTAATTAAAAGTCCTTGTATAAAATAATTAAAAGTCCATGGTTCTAATTAAAAGTCCTTTACATAGATTAAAACTCACACGAAGTGTGACTCTGTTTTCTTCTTATAATACATATACTAAGAATTACATAAACATAAACGTAAAAAAATTACATATACTAAGAATTACATAAACATAAACATAAACATACTAAGAATTGGATATACTAAGAATTACATAATGGTATGATTTTTGATACATTGATCCAAAACAAAAGATGAACAATATATACATGCAAAAACATAAAGTCTACTTTTTTTTTTATTTTGAAGAAAACAACATAAAGTCTACTTGTATGATGGTGCCATTCTCTTTAATGATGATATGCTTTAATGTATTAACCAAAGCAAAATATGTACATATGTGAACATAGCGTCTACTACTTACATCAAAGCCATGATAAAATAAAGAGTGTAACTAATTAAGATGAGAATTATGCACAATCACAATTTTAAGGTTGCAAGCAATTTGAACAAACACTAAAAGCCAAACATAAATACTCATCTGGCTTTCTAATATTAAACATAAACATAAACATACTAAGAATTACATAAACATAAACATAAACATACTAAGAATTACATATACTAACAATTACATAAACATAAACATAAAAAAATTACATAAACATACCAAATAATAAAACACACCAAATAAAATAACATAAACATACCAAATTCAAAAAAACACACTAAATGAACTTAATTATCTTCAGCTTGTTTCAATGCCCACTGGTGCTCTATCAAGTCAATTTGTCGGGCATTGTGCATGTCTGGCATTTGAAATGCAGTATATCGTTGAATGAGCCTTTCATTGTAACGTCCATCCCTTTGTAATGGCTCATGTTGCACAGGCTCATCGGTGGCGTCATGAGCACAATATATACGTGTTCTTGAATTGTTCATCGGGTCTGGCTCATATTCATCAACAGCTTCAGAATTGTACTCATCTTCCACAATCATGTTGTGAAGAATGATGCACGTCATCATGATGGATCGAAGCGACTCTACATCAAACAATTTGGTAGCACCCCTGACGATCGCCCAGCGAGCTTGGAGGATACGGAAACAACGCTCCACATCCTTCCTGCACCCCTCTTGACAGCTTGCAAAGTGTTTTTCCTTTGCACTCCGCGGGCGTGGCACTGTTTTGACAAATGTTGACCAGCGCGGGTAGATGCCGTCAGCTAGGTAGTATGGCCTGTCGTACATAAGTCTGTTGACCTCATACGTAACTTTTGGTGCATTTCCTTGCAAGACATCGTTGAACACTGGGGATTGGGCAAAGACATTGATGTCATTTTGAGCTCCCAGGACCCTGAAAAAGGCGTGCGAAATCCATGTATCAAACAATGCCACTGCCTCCAGAATGATACTTTTTGCTCATTTTCTGTCCCCGTAAGCGCCTTGCCATGCACTTGGACAGTTTTTCCACGTCCAGTGCATACAATCAATGCTTCCAATCATCCCAGGAAAGCCACGCATCTCTGCCTTCTTCAACAGCCGCTCCAAGTCCATGTGTGTAGGTTTGCGGAGGTGCTCAGCGGTGTAGATAGATTCGATTGCTCCGCAAAACCTCATCAGGGACTCAAGAATGGTTGATTGCCCCATCCTCGTTATCTCATCCACTTGGTCTGCAGATGCTCCATATGCAAGCATCCGTAAGGCATCAATAATTTTTTGCTCAGGCAGTAGACCCATAGCACCAAAAGCATCTTTTTTTTGCACAAAATAAGAATCATGGTTGCAAATAGCAATCATGATTTTGTTGAACAAATGTCGTTCCATTCTAAAACGACGTCTAAAGTACATATCAGGGAATGCATTATTAGGAACAAAATAATCATCCAAGAGTTCCATACCTCGTTGTTGCCTGCTTCTATCAAGGTTTCCGGAACGGCTGGGCCTGCAGATCTGAGCCGCAGCTTGGATGACTCGACGGGAATGTGAGGCTCTGCCCTTTCTTACTTTGTCATCTCTCATTTTACGCTCCTCATCCTCTTCCCTCTCATTTCTTAGCTCCTGGTGATTGAACATTGCTTCTGATTCGTTAAACAATTCTTCCTCTTCCTGATTGAATTCCCACATCATCCTTGAGGAAGAAGAAGAAGACATTGAAAGAAAGAAACAGAAACTATGAATAATGATATAGATTTTTGTGAATAAGGAAGCAGAAACTATGAATAATGATAGAGATCTTGAGAATTTTGGTGTGAGATTTGTGAGGATGGATGGTGGATTATATAGAGGATTCAGAAATGATTAGGTTGTGCATAATGCCACGTGCCATGCCGTCATTCGTTACAAATCTGATGGAAATCTATCCTCAAAGATTGTGAACAGATTATGACACGTGGCATGCCGTCATTCGTTAAAAATCTGTTGGAAATCTATCCTAAAAAATTGTGAACAGATTATGACACGTGGCGCGACGTGATTGGTTAATAATCTTATCAGAAATCCATCACCAATAATTGTATTATTTTGTATTATTTAATAATACTTCGGATAATGACACGTGGCACAACGAGAACGATTAAAAATCTTATCCGATATTACAATTAAAATTATTTTGTATTATTTTATAAATAAAAAAAATACTAATATTTTATTGCCTATTGCCAGGGCTATTGAAGTGTAACGGTGGAGATGCAAATTCTATTGCCAGGGCTACTTACTGTTCATTGAGGGCAATTACTGTTCATTAGGTGGATTGAATAGTGTACTGCCAGGGGAGAGGGCTCCAACACTGGAGTTGCTTTAGATGTCGATGGGGCTTGCGACAAGGAGCATTGCATTGGTGGTGTAGGGATTATCATTAGAAATGCTGAAGGAATCTTTGTTGGTGCGGCTACCCGTGTGCTTAAGGAAGTCTTTGCTCCGGCACAGGTAGAAGCCTTGGCCTTAAGAATGGATCTTGAACTGGTGGTTGAGAGGGGTTTAAACAAGATGGATATCGAGAGTGATGCGCTTCAGATCGTTTCGGCAGTGTTGGAATCCTCGGTGAATCGGTCTCCCATGGGACCTATCATTGAAGACGTCAAGTTCTTGCTGACTCTGATCGCTGAAGCTTCTGTTGCCCACATCCGCCGTTAAGCAAATTCGGTAGCACACCGACTGGCTTGTTATGCCCTCCATACTGGAGGGGATTTTACTTGGTTCAATGAACCTCCTCTTATAATTAGTGATCTTCTTTTAGAGGATGTTTCTCTACCTTGTACTCGTTAGCCTTCTGGCTTTATGAAATATATATCGTCCTTCTTCAAAAAAAAAAAAAAAAAAAAACACACACACATGAAAAGCATGTCAATTTATCTCCACCCTTGAGGTCAAATCCAATGGTTACCAAAAGAACTTTTTGTTATTAAAAAAAATCCAAAGATATGTTTTAAGGTTTTGCAAGTTAACAAAAGAGAGAATCATTAGAGAGAAGTGACAGAACAAAACAAATTTCTAAAAAAGAATGATCGTTGCTCAATTTCTTTGAGGCTTAAATTAATTATTTCTAACATTATCTGCTATTTTGCACTCAGCTTCCGATCGGTTTTCACGCTGCCACATTTTTTGAGAATTAGTCAATATTCTTGTGGGTGCTATTACTAATCTTGGCTACTTATTCACGAACTTGTATTTTAGAGATAGTTTGCATCAAAATAACGTTTTTATATTTGTTTGTTAATAAGGTTTTAAAAAACGTTAGGTGCTAGTTGGACAATGGGTTGGGGCTTAGCGCTTAGGTGCCTAGGCGGGCGTCTAGGCAGATTTAAGTAAATCTGTTATATTTTGTGTAAATAAGTATCTGTTTATACTTAAAATATATATATAATTACATCATAAATTATAAAATAGAATGACATATATATATATATATATATATATATTAAGAAGTATTGAAACATAATGAAAAAATGGGGAACAAGCATATAATTTGTGTTCATTTTTACAATGTATTAAAAAAATAATGCAAAATGAAAGTTATCTATTTTCTGTCTAAGTGAGTTGCAACGTAGGTGGGTGTCTAGGCGTGTTTGGATGGGCTAGGCAGGTGCCTAGGCGGTCTAAGCGGGCGCCTCAGTAGGTCTAAGCGTCATTTCTAAATTTTCAAACGCCTATGCATTAATCGGGATGGTGACCAATCGCCTAACGCCTAGCCGGCACTAGGCGGGGATTTTTAAAATAGTTATTGTTATAAGTATGTTGTTGTGTTCTTTGTAATTGAACTCTCATCCTTATCAACAAGAAAGAGGGTGATAGATTTACCTTGTTAATGATAATTACCAAAGTTAGACATAATAATATTCTTTCAATAAATGAATGAGCCACGAAAAAATCTATGTCCAGATTCATGAATATTCATGCATGCATGGAAACTAATAGAAAAGCCTTCCATATAAAACCAAGGGTGGATAATATCAAATACTCATCCAACAAACTCACGTTTTACAATTTTTTCTTAATTTAATTTGCTAATTTGCTAATATGATTCCCTCCACCAAATTTCACATTGTAAATTTGTTGGCAGTCATAAATTTCACATCCAATGTATATATATCAAAATGGTCTCTACTGATTTTTGTATATCATGCAACCTAAGAGCATTAACTTTCTAACGTGGAGTAAATCTAAGAAAATTTATGAGGAGGTTCCTTGCAAGTAGTATAAATACCGGTCAGTGGAGTTGTGGTTAGGCAAGCAATTAAGCAAACTGTAGAGCTCCTCCTTAAGCAAACCCTAGGGCACGTACTTGTGCCCTAGCTAGCCACCATGTCTCGAAAGAAGGTGAAGCTTGCCTACATCCAAAACCACCCGACTCGAAACCTAACATTCAAAAAAAGAAAGAAGGGTTTCATGAAAAAGATGAGTGAAATCACTACCCTTTGTGATGTTGAGGCCTGTGCTGTCGTTTACGGACAGAACGATACTCAGCCTGAGGTTTGGCCATCTCCTTCGGGAGTACAAAGCACATACGCCAAGTTCAGGACAATGCCGTCAATGGAGCAGACCAAAAAGCAGCTGAACATGGAGGCTTTTCTGAGGCAGCAGATCGAGAAGGCAAAGGACCAGCTGAGGAAACAGAAGAAGGAGAATCGGGAGAAAGAAATGTCAATCCTGATGAGTCAGTGTCTAACTGGGAGGTCCCTGCAAGATCTGAATATGGGGGATCTGAATGACCTAGGGTGGGTGGTTGACCACAAAGTGGAGGAGATAAACAGAAAAGTGCAGAAAGTGCAGGAAGAGCTGGCTCAAAACGAGAACAATCATGTCCAAGTAGTACCAACACCACCACCACCACCACCAGCGACTAGTGGCAGAATAATGCACATGCAACAAGCTCAGTCGGCTGCACCGATGGGGGTAATGACTCCACAAGACCAGCAGCCGCAAGAGCAGATGGCGGGGCTTGGAGCAAACACTGGGGACGAATTTCTGCAGTTTGGGAGTTAGAACCACCATGCTATGTGGTCTAATCCATTTCACCCTTGAACGTCGGCGTACTGTTCAGTTTTCTTGTGATATGAACTACACAGGGAGTTAATTTTGTAGTTTTTTTTTTAATAATTATGTCATTTCTTTTACGCAGGTTTCTTTTGAGATCAACCACAGGGAGACTTTTTTGTTTTTTTTTTTTGTTTTTTTTTTTTAAGTATGTAGACTAGAAGGATGTTGTTTTTTTATTTAATTTCAGTAATTTTTACGTCATGGATCCAATTTCTTCGCTACTAATAAAATAAGCAGTTCATCCCTTGGATTTTTTTTTTCTTTTTTCAATTGGTAATGCTAGAAACCAACTTTTTAAAATAATTTTGTAATCATATGATGTGATTGTTGATGATCGTATTATTATTTTGGTGTTGACTAACAAGATTTATTTTCTATTGGTGACACATCATATATTTTGCAAATTTATCTTGGGTTAACATTTTAAAAACTCAACAAATGCTCTTAATTAAGAAGATGACAAGAGACTAGAAATTTATTAAATGAGGATAACATGGAAAATTTGAGAAGCCAAGGGCAAAGATTCTCATGTTCTATTAAACAAGGGAAATTAAAAATAAATCAAACATCAAAGTAATATACCTGAGAGTGAAGACGATTTAGTTTTTGCGGGAAAGGAATAAAACCAATTGCAACTGCTAATTGCAGTTTCAAATTTGAACGCCAATTTTTTTTTTTAACGTGTTAAAATTATAACCGCTCAGTTTAGGAGGATAATTATCTCTTATTTTTTAAAATAGGAAGATAATTATCCAACTTTTTCTACACCCATCTTCCCACGTTGGTTTTTTATTTTCTTATTATCTCTCCTAAAATGGAGGAGGAGTTTGATCAACACGTTCCCTTTTTCTCTCCTTATTATCTTTTATTAACAAATTTTAATTTTTCTGACAAAATTGCCCTTGAGCTTTTATATGTATCAAATTCTATCAGTTTTAGATTTTTTTTGTTTTAGGGGTGTTTTAGTCCAATAATTTTTGGTGAAGCCTTGAGACACCAAAGTAGTCTTCTTGCTTTCTAATATTAGAGATAGAAGTGAAACTTACTTATCTTATTTAGAGGAGAATAGGATGACATGAGCTGCGGGACAAATGAACAACCTCATAATGAGATAAATACATCCATGCTTCTATCAATCATTGAATTCTAAGCAGTCAAGAGCTTACATATCAAAACTCATAATATTTCTAATATCTTTCTCGTTACAAAGGCTGTTAATTTTTCCAAAGTATTAGAGTATGAATGCCTTATGAAGTGACTTAAATGTAAAAAGCCCTAATACTCTGGACCAAAATAAAACAATGAATAATATTTGGGTAAATTACACTTTACCACCTCAGGTTTGGGGTCTACTGCAACCTCATACAACATCTTTAAAACATTTCACTTTTATACCTCCAGTACTATTTTATTTCAATATAATACATCCGTTACATTTTCCATCTATTAATCCCTTAAGAGCTGACGTGGCTACCACATTTATGCCACGTGGTTGCCAAATTTATGCCACGTGGCAAAAAATAATTTTTTTATTCATTTAAAATATTATAATAATTTACCCAATTAAAAAAAAAACTAAAAACACAAAAACCCATTCCCCCGACCACTTCCCTGTCCTCCACTCTCTTCACCTCCCTTCTCATCCAAAAACCCACCCCCACCTCCCCCTTCAACGATTGAAACATGGTCTTGGGCCTTTGGACTACGCCTCATGACCCCACGAAATCCACAAGCAGCATGACGAACACCGACGATCCTCTTCGGCAATGCTGCTGTGAGAAGCTGTAGAAGAGGTCCTATTGGAGGTCGCCATTGTCTGGCGAGACTAAGCCTCCGGCAGTAGAAGAAAATGGAAGGGATGCGAGTGAAGGTGTGGTAGAAGGAGGCGGAGAAGGTCGAAAAGGATGGAGATGCAATTGCCATTGATGGAATCAAAAATGGGGGTGTGTGGTGGTTTTGTTGGGAGAAATGAATGAGTGAAGGGGTTTCTGGGAAATGGGTTTATGGGGGTGGTGTTAGAATCTAAAGAGAGATTCAATAAGAAAGATAAAGAGAGAAGAGAGAAATGAAGTTGTATGTTTTCATTACTTGAATAATGTTACACTTTGGTATATATACCATCATTTACATATAGGATAACTATCTACCTTATTGACTAAGTAAGGTATGGCAAACTTCTCATAACAACTCTAACAACACTACTTAGCATCATTTTACATTACTACCCTTAATATCCCCCTTCAAACTAAGCTGAGGTAGCCGAAGAGAAAGTTTGTCTCGGAGAAAAAGGAACCGATCCTTGGATAATGCTTTAGTGCAAATATTTGCAGTTTGATCTTTTGTACAGACAAAGTGCACTGTGATAGAATTTGCCAAGACTTTCTGCCGAATGAAGTGGTGGTCAATCTCCACATGCTTGGTTCGAGCATGAAAAAGGGGATTCTTAGCAAGAGAAATAGCAGATATGTTGTCACACCAAAGTTTAGGAGGACAAGGAAGAACAAGACCAATATCGACTAACAATTTGCAAATCCAAGTTAACTCAGTAGCAGTGGTAGCTAAAGATAGGTATTTCGCTTCAGTTGATGATATAGCCATGGTAGGTTGTTTCTTGGCACTCCAACTTATAAGCGAATCACCCAGAAAAATACAAAAACCACATGTGGGTCGCTGATCTACATATGAAAAACTATGAATACTGAGAGGTGCAGAGCATTTTGGAAACCAGAGACCAAGGGAAATAGTGCCCTTCAAATATCTGAAAATGTGTTTGACAGCCTGGAAATGAGATTCTTGTGGATATTGCATGAACCGACAAACAAGATTTACTACAAAAGACAAGTCTAGTCGAGTCTAGGTTAAGTATTGAAGCCCTCCAACTAAGGATCTGTATTCTTCTGGATTGGACAGTAATGGAGAAAAGTGATCCAATTTAGCTGTGCTTAATGGAGTGACACATGGTTTAGCACCCTCCATGTGTGCCTTCTTGAGAAGATCCAAAATATATTTAGTTTGAGAGATGAATATACCCTTGGAAGATCTCTTGACCTTAATGCCTAAAAAGTAATGAAGTGATCCCAAATCCTCAACAAGAAATAACTCACAGAGTTGAGAAATCACAGTTTTACATTCTGCAGAATCTGGTCCAGTAACTAAAATATCATCAACATGCACTAAGACATATACCACTGAAGCATCTTTCTTGACCAATAAAGAATGGTCATTTTAGGAGCTAGAGAATCCAATAGAGTGTAATGCAGCTGTGAACTTGGCATACCAAGCTCGGGGAGCCTGTTTGAGGCCATACAGCGACTTGTGCAACTTACAAACATGATGTGGTTGAGCAAGATCTTCAAACCCGGAAGTTTAAACCATGAAAACAGACTCAATGAGATTACCATGCAGAAATGCATTATTAACATCAAACTAATTGATGAACCAATCAAATTTAGCTGCTAGAATTAAGAGAATGCGAATGGTAATAGGTTTTGCAATTGGACTGAAGGTTTCATTATAATCCAGACCTTGTTGCTGATGAAATCCTTTAGTAACAAAACGGGCTTTGTACTTGTCAATTAAACCATCAGGCTTTCTTTTAATACCAAAAACCCATTTACACCTTACCAAGTTTTGAGAGGAATCATGAGGTACCAAAGACTATGTACTAGTTTGAAGTAGAGCATTGAACTCTTCCTGTATAGCTTGCCTCTAGTGCAAGTGTTTAGATGCTTGAAGATATGTGGAAAGTGTGTAATCAGGAGATATATGAGATGAAAGATGATGTTTGGTTGCTAAAAGAGCCTTAGGTTTGAAAATACCAGACTTAGACCTAGTTGTCATAGGATGAATATTAGTTATAGGAGGAGGAGGGTGAATAGGTGAGGAGTGAGGTAAGGAATCTGAGAGTGAAGGAGTAGGTAAAGTAGGTAACGGATTGGATTATGGGGATGGGTTTAATAAAGCAGATGATGAAGAAAGATTAAAGGAATGTGTGAAGGTTAATGAGGTTGGGATGGATGGGGAATTGGAAATAGGTTGAATTGGAGGAAAATGATTCACAGTGGATTGGTGATGATGAAATGGAAATGTGTGTTCATCAAAGATTACATGTCTGGAAATATAAAGTTTTCTAATGTGAGCATCCAAACATCTATAGCCTTTATGATTGAGGCTATATCCTAAAAATACACAAGGTTTGCTTTTAGGATCAAGCTTAGAGGATGTGTAAGGTTTTAACCAAGGAAAACACATACAACCAAAGACCTTAAGAGTTGTGTAATCTGGTGGTTTATGAAATAATAGTTCCTAAGGAGATGGTTTACCAGCAGTGGGCATTCGATTGATGAGATTAAGTGTTGTTGAACATGTTTCAACCCAATAGATGTGAGGAACTTAAGATGTTGCAAGAATAGTCCGGGCAATTTCAACCAAATGCCTGTGCTTTCTTTTAGCACAACCATTTTGTTCTGGAGGATAAGGGCATTTGAGTTGATGAGAAATCCCATATGTTTTAAAGAAATCAAAGAAGTTGTTATTAACAAATTCACCACCAGAGTCAGATCGCACAGTAATAACCTAGAATCCCAACATGTTTTCAACCACATATTTGAAATGAACAAATGTATTGAAAAATTCAGATTTGTATGAAAAGAACCAAGAATACTTAGTAAAATCATCAACCAAGAGAAGATAATACCGATATCTATTGACAGAAGAAATAGGCGCAGGAGCCCATACATCAATGTGCAATAGCTCAAGAGGTTTGCTTGCGTTACAAGAAACATAGGTAAATGATTTTCGAGAACATTTACCTAAAGCACAATTGGAGCACACAACTTTATTGATCCCATCTGAAAGAGAGATACTAGACTTTGAAGTTAATTTATTTAAAATCTTGAATGAGGGATGGCCTAAAAGTTGATGCCAGATGCCCTGAAAAACTTTAGTACTGGCCACATAAGCCTGATGATGGCTAGCAACAGAAGGTGCTGGAAAAGGATAAAATCTAGCTTTGACAGGGCCTTTAAAAGGCTCATTCCCCGAAGTGAGATCCTTCACAATGAAGTGAAAGGGATATAGATGAATGGACCACCAATTATCAACTATAAATCGATTTGCAGAAATCAAATCTTGTTTCAAATCAGGAACATGCAACACATTATTCAAATCAAATGTATGAGTAGAAGTATGAAGACTAGAAGAACCAGAGTGAGTAATAAGTAAACATTTGCCATCGCCAATATAGACCTGCTCAGGACCATTGTAAGATTCAGGACTTTGAAAATTTGTGTAAGAATTGGTCATATGAGAATTGGCACCAATATCAAGAAGCCATGTTCGAGCAGTGGAAGAAGTGTGAGCCTGAAATGTTGTCTGTGAATTCTTGTTGCCATAACTAGGATTCATATAATGCGGACAATCAATAGTCTCATGATCAAATTGACAACAAATTTGACATGAATTTCTTCTGTTGAAATTATTGAAATTGGATATGGAGCCACGATTATTCTTCTGTTAACCTAGACAAGAGAAATTCTAGCGAGAATTGTAGGATCGAGAGTTATTGCGGCGATGCTGAAAATTTCTAGGGTTAGAAAAATTCCAATCCATGCCACGTCCTTGTGAAGAATTGAAATTGGAGCTCTGTTGAACATAATACGCCTGAGAATTAGAGTCATCGAGTGGTGTAGGAAGAATGCCGACAGAGGAATTATAATCTTAAAATGGTGTTGATGGAGAAACCTTCTTATGATTTGCCAATTGAATCTCCTTGCTGAGCAGCAAGCCGTGTAACTCATCAATAGTGGTTGAACCACGACGAAACTGAATAGTATCAACAAAAGCATCATATTCAGGTGGTAATCCTTGAAGAATAACAGAGATGAGTTCTGAATCATCAATCGGAGCACCAGCAGTCGTAAGAGCATCAACGATTTCTTCAATTTGTTGAAGATAAGTAGTTGCAGTGGAATCGCCTTTAGCAATTGTTAGAAGGCAAGAACAAAGTTCATAAATGTGTGATTGAGTTGCCGTCGCAAGGCGATACTCTAATTTTGCCTATAGATCACGAGCAGAAGTAACACTAACAGTGTAAGGGATCGAAGAATCCGATAGTGTGGAATTGATCCAGATCAAAATGTTCTGATCATTCTCAAACCACGTTACATATTAAGGATTCATAGTCGAAGTGCAATTTCCTGAAGAATCAAAAAGATACTTAGGTGGTGCCACCATGGAACCATTAATTAGTTCAATGAGATTATACCGACGAGAGATCGATGCAAATAAAGCACTCCAGGTGATTCAATTTGTAGTTGTCAGTTTCATCGGGACCAGCAAGCCAATGTTCTGAATTGTGATCGAAGAACTGATCGAATTAGGGCACAAATTTGGGGCTAAAGAATTTGCAGGAGATGGCTGCGATGTAGAATCAGAGAAAGGTGAAGGAGATACTGCCATTGTTAGTAGCGTAGAAAATCAAGAAGAGAGACCATAGAGAACGCAGGGAGACGAAAGATCGTCAAAGGTCGTTAGACATCGGCGATAGATACCATGTTAGAATCTAGAGAAAAATTCAATAAGAAAGATAAAGAGAGGAGAGAAATGAAGTTGTACGTTTTCATTACTTGAATAATGTTACACTTTGGTATACATACCATCATTTACATATAGGATAACTACCTACCTTATTGACTAAGTAAGGTATGGCAAACTTCTCACAACAACTCTGACAACACTACTCAACATCATTTTACATTACTACCCTTAATAGGTGGGAGGGGAGGGGGTGGGGGGGATTGCGGGGTTGGCGATGGTGTGGGGGGGGGGTTGCAGGGGTGTCGGCCGTGGAGAGAGAAAGGATGGAGGGTTGTTTGGGGGTTGTGGGGGGTGGGGTGGGATAAGGTGTTTGGGTTGTAGGGAACGAGAAGGGCTTTGGGAAAAAGATAGGTTTTTTTTTTAATTTTTTTAATTGGGTAAATTATTATAATATTTTTAATGAATAAAAAAAATTGCCATGTTGCACAAATGTGGCAGCCATGTCAGCTCTTCACAGATTAATGGATGAAAAATGTAACGAATGTATTATATTGAAATAAAATAGTACTTGAGAAATGAAAGTAAAATGTTTTGAAGACGTCATATGAGGTTATAATAGACTTCAAATCTGAGATAGTAAAATGTAATTTACCTATAATATTTTGGACAATAAGAAATAATGAAATATATTTATATATTAAAAACAAAAAGAATAATTTTAGAAAATGAATAATTCGGGGGAAGATTGTGTTTTAAATGGCGCACTTATCAAATTTTGGTCCTCCGGATTCTCCTGCAAAGCGGAGCAGGGTCTCCTCTCCTGGTCAAGGCCATCCAGACCATCCAATCATCCGACGGCGCCGACGAAGATGGAGTACCGCAACAAACTTGTCCTCGCTCCCATGGTTCGCGTCGTCAGTACTTCTAAACCCTAAACCCTTTTTCCTTTTCTATTTTTTGCTTGAATTTCAGTGAAAAATTAACCTTCTAATTCATGTTATTTACGTACAAATTTTGAAATTGGCTAGGGGACTTTGCCGTTTCGATTACTAGCTGCTGAATATGGAGCTGATATAACCTACGGTGAAGAAATTATCGACCATAAACTTGTCAAATGCGAGCGCAGATTCAATGGTATGATAACCTTTTTCATTTTTCTCACTTGTTCACAAATTACTATATATATATATATATATATATATATATATTTGTTTCCTGAAGATTTATGGAGCAAAGAATTTGACCCATTTTGGTTGTGGGGTGCTTAATTTTGGGAATTTTTGTGTAATGTTTGTTGCTTAGAGAAATTAGGATCCGTTGATTTTGTGGAGAGAGGTACTGGAAGTGTTGTTTTCAGGACATGCGATGCGGAAAAGAATCGAGTGGTGTTTCAGATTGGTACTTCCAACGCCGTAAGGGCTCTCAAAGCTGCTGAGATCGTGTGAGTTGATTGTTGCATTGCGTCGTTCTCTTTTTCTTTCGAAGTTCGTATTTTTATGTGTTTATCGTAAAAATGTAATTAGGTACTAGTAGACAGAGTTATTATGTTGGAACTTTAACTTGAAAGTCTGTCGTCTTTTGGTTGTGGAACTTAGATCGATGGCCTTGTGATCAATATGGTATCAATCTAAGTTATTAGGATCACGCGATTGGTATGGGAAGTGACTGTATGCACCTGTGCTCTCCATACACTCAGTGTTGACTTGATTGGTTTGCTATTTGAGTTTGGGGTTCATATTGAATCACTTATTACTTGTGTAGACAGTGCAAAGTTTAGAAGTAGATCGGGATGTAGTTGCATGAATACATGGATTTCAGCATACAAGCCTATAAATCAACAAGTTAAAGCATTTAGTAATCGAATAGCTGTATTTGCACAACTTTTGCTTTACGTTAACATGCTTTCTTAAAAAGGAAGAAAAATGCTATAACTATATCAAGATTCTAAGTTATATGTTTTGATTTTGACCTTTCATTTATTGATTCTTCCACATATTTCGTTGTATGTTGGACATGGTAGTATTAAGGAAATTTATGAAAGTGATACATTAATGAAAATTGTGTATGCATTTGAAAGAAAAAGTGATATTCCTTTGTTTTAAAATATTGTGTTTGTTCACCTAGAAAACAGATTGTCATTTTGATGGTAAAGATATGGAAATGGTCTAAATCTGTACGGGTGGAGAGGAAACTTCACCCACATTTTATTTTTCCTTATTCTACCTTATTTAGTAAATGCGGGTGCCAAAAAGTACTAAATGTGTGAATGAGTAGTCAATGCAAGCGTTATTAGGGTTGTTTTCTGTTAGCTTGAGCCTGGTTTATTTGTCATACTCATGCATGCATATGACTAAATGGGAGAATGTATATAACCGTGGTAGGTCTACCAAGATTTGTCATAAATAAGGTTGTTTTTAATGGTAATCCTCCAAAGATTTGGATAGAATTGGATCAACCTTGGATCTAGGTTTTTTGAAAGTATCAGGTTTGAGCAGACAATTGGTTTTCAAAATGTGACTATATCTTTGTTTGGGTTTCATTCATATAGCAGTGGTCTGGTATCTTCTCTTCCCACAGGAACCTGTTGCGTATCTGTTTCTTCTCATGTCCAATCTGATTCTTCATACTCATCTTGGACAAAACACCCATATGTGTGATATGGGTCTGTGTCCATCTCAATGTAATGCTTGTCTCAACTGTGGCTAGTATACTTATGGACCTTTTTCTTTTAGGTGTAAGGATGTCACAGCAGTGGATATAAACATGGGTTGTCCAAAGTCATTTTCTGTGAGTGGAGGAATGGGTGCTGCACTGTTGACCAAACCAGATCTTATTCATGATGTAAATAATCTTATCCACTCAAGATTCTTTTTCTTTCCATCTGCAGAGTGCTTGCAGTTAATTTCTAACTTCCTCTTTTCCTTTCTAAGTTCAGATTTTGACTACATTATTGCGAAACCTAAGTATACCGGTAACTTGTAAGATTCGACTATTAAAATCATCTCAGGATACTGTTGAATTGGCTAGGAGAATTGAAAAAACTGGAGTTACTGCTCTTGCTGTCCATGGAAGGTAATCTCTCATATACCCTGTTGGTAAAGTTTGGCTTTTTGTCTAGTACATTTCTACATTATCATTTTAATTACGCCCTTGCCCAACTGTATGGTTATGGATGGAATCTATATAAATGCATGAAATTGCACTCTGATTAACTATCTCTTCTGTTATGATTTCCCTGCCTTATTATCTCCTAACCGTAACATGCAAGCCATAGTTGAACTGTAATAGAACCATATTTAAGCTCACCATATCAACAACATTGGAAACCAACAAACAAGCCATCCTTACCCGCGGTTACTGTTCGTTTCGGGTCCTGGATAAATATATAAATAAAATTCCTTTAGATCCCAAGATTTACATCTGCTTTGCTGTCCTACGTAGAGGTTGTCATTCTAATATGTTAGTATGTAAGTGATTAGATCTTGAGTTGTAACAGCTTAATAAAATTGGGCCCAACAAAGAAAAGGAAAAATGCTTAGTGAAAAGAACAGGAAAAGGCGGATAACATTTGCGCGTATTTGAGGAAGAAGAAATTTCATGGTAGTTTTTGTTGGGGTTCCATCATTAGGAGACTAACACCATTCTAGTCCTGTGCTTTTAGCTTTGAGTCTTTTGACAACATTTGGTTCCGGGATTGTGGGAGAAGGATGTGAAGTTCAGGATGAGACATTGCTAACATAAGTGAGGAGAAATTTTTGGAGTAGGTGAGGAAGTGAAAGTATCAACTGTGGAGTTTGTGAGAGTGAAGTAAAATGAGAACACCTAGGGCCTACGTTTTGAACTGAACACTTATGACCGAACATTTATGGCCTACCCTAATTCTACTTTTTGACAACCATAAATTTCAAGTGGGTCATGAAAAACAAGTGTATTAGCAGAGGGATGATATACGTAGCAACAGAGGGAAATAAAAACAAGCTTCAAAGTTGGATATAACAAATGTTAAACAAAATAGAAAGGCATATCTATGTACACTGTGGCTTTTCATGTCACATTATAAAGAATGGAAAAATTAGACTGCGTGATGATAGGGTTTTCCTGTCATATTGAGTCACCAAAAATAAAAGGAAATAAGAAATATTTGCATTCCATAACATTATTTAATGCAGGAGGGTTTGTTGCCAGCTTCTATAAAAGTAAAATAACATCAATATTCTTGTCTCAATTGCATGATTCTTGGTCTAACGTGTTTCTGTTCAATAAAATGCAGAAAAGTTGAGGATAGGCCGCGGGATCCAGCTAAGTGGAGTGAAATTGCTGATGTTGTAGCATCCTTATCCATTCCAGTTATAGCAAATGGCGATGTTTTTGAGTATGAAGATTTTCAGCGTATCAAAGTTGCTACAGGTAGCAATAAGACTATTCAAGTAATCTTAAGATATTAGAATTTCTTTAGGACCATATCATATTTCATGTTGGGGATACAAAATCTTACCTCTGTTATTTCCTTTCTTGCACCACAATAATTATATCCTGGTCCTAAAGAAATACCCGAGCTGAGATTTTAGATCAAGTAGCCTTCATGTTATTTATACTAGCTGGGTTTATATCATTTGTGTCAGGGTTTAATCTATACAATTTGTTATCACATGAGTATCTTAGAAGCCTGCAACATATGTGACCATGCACTTTATGTATTTTTTTTGTCATTAAAATGGTAAAAATAGCACTAATTTCTGTAAAATGGAAAAATCTAGAAAGGCTCAATTCGGATACAAAGGTGTAATAGATGGGTTTGGATTTTGATGGTAAGCTTGACGTGAGTTAGAATACCCTAAAAATACTATATGCAATTTATTTGAGATACCTAGGTTCAGTTGAATTAATCCGTATATTTCTTCTGTCTTCCTATGCAAATTTTATGCAGTGTTAAGATTATACTTGTGTATTTTGAATAAGCCTTAACCAAAAATTTAGATTTGAAATCTCACATCCCTAACGGAACTAAAGATTAGGAGCGCGTATGTGCTGTGTATTCTTGAATACGATTATTGATGGTGCACACAATTGTTAAAGGTACTTCATCTGTGATGGTTGCAAGAGGAGCACTTTGGAATGCTTCAATTTTCTGTCCAAAAGGTAAATTACCATGGGAAGACGTGAAGAGGGAATATGTTAGGAAGGTAAGTGTCTCCTAGTGCTGTGTTTTATCAGTTGTGCATGATGGAATTAGCTAGTGGTCATTTTCCCTAGATGACGGATTTCTTTGTGGAAGTACACAAAGGACAGAAAGAAATAAGAGAGTTCTTGAAGACTATGAGCTTGGGATGAAATTCAGTTCTGGGAAGCCCTTTGGGCTTCTGTTTCTAACTTTCTATAGAGTTTAGACTAATTCCTTTCTGTAGCATTTGGCGGGATTGGGTCTCCTTGGTGGTGTAATCTTTTATTATTGTTTCTGGCTCAAGAGAGTTCTGTTGTCCTTTGCCTTCGTGTTTGGTCGTCTTCTTGACCACATTTTTTTCTTTTTCTTTTCTTGCTCCCTTTGGTGCAATCAAAGTGTTTCATGTTATGATTGACTGGAGCTAGGCATGCTGACGTGTTCTTGAACTTCTGACCGCAGAGCATCTTGTGGGATAATGACATTAAAAGCACAAAGCACACACTGAGGGAAATGATAACGCATCATTCGTCCCTTGAACTTGCAGAAGGAAAGGCTGTGATTAAATCAGAATCCTTGATAGATCTTGCGTAAGTGTCATTTTAATTGGTCAAAAGAGTGTGTCATTTATGTGCGTCGGAGTTAAGGTCTTTGGTACCGATTTTGCTGTTAATTTCCTAATTGTACAATTTCTTCCTGTTTTTTGTTATTCCCAGGCGGCTTTATGGAGCGGAGAATTATGAGGTTGTTCAGAACTGATTCTTTGTTATTGAAGAGTAGATAAATATTGACGGTCCTTTCCTTTTTACGCCGGTGTTTGTCCTTGGCCTTCAGGACCACCGAGTGAGTTTTGATTTTCAGTTATACATTTCATACATCCACTCTGTTAAGTAGACACCAAGAATATGTATGACCACATGTTGGGGCTGCTATTACTAACTGACTGGTTGGATGACGAATTCAATTGGATTGTCTTTTCTTTTTGGTTGGAAGTCGATGGAGGATGTGGCATCACTGGAGTTCCTGTTGATCACATATTCAAATGATCCATCCAATGTTCTCAAACACGCTAAGCACTAGTCGGGCGGTGGTGGAGCCTAGCACCTAGACGGTTGGTAGGGCTTAGACAGGGATGTAGGTGAATTTAAGTAAATTTATTAATATCGTATAAATAAGTGCCTATTTATACTTAAAAAGATACATAATTGTATTGGATATATAAATTGCAAAATAAATTGACATATAGATTACATAGTATTAGAACATATTGAAAATATGAAGAACAAGTATATAATGAGTGTTATTCAAGTATTAAACAAGTCTCTTACATTTTATTGAAATAAATAAAATACAAAATGAAAGTTATCGATTTTCTGTTTAAGTGAAAATCAAGACCTAGACGAGCGTCTAGGTGGGCCACTTGAGCAGATCTAGGCGTTCTTTCTTAATTTTAAAATGCCTAGAAATTAAATGAGGCGTTGGTCAGTCACCTAATGCTTAGATGAGAACTTTTAGAACAGTAGAGCCATACACCCACAACTTGATTGATTCGACTCCCACTCCTTTAAAAAAATTCAAAATAAAGTTCACCCATGTCAAAATAAAGTCAGGTTCTGTAATTGGGAGGGATTCAAAATCGCTCGGTGTTATAACGTGAGTGGATTGGTTAAACTCTGTTTATCTGCCACACGAAAAAAGTGATCTAAATGAAAGAAAATCAATCAAACCCCTTCAAAACTAAAGTGAGTAAATTGCACAGTGAGGCTTTCTTCTGGTTCTAAATGAGATATTGAGGTCATTTATAGTTACCACTTGAGCATTTTCTATGGTATTCTATATACGCTGGATGTCTTAGCATACTTCAGATGTTTTTAACCGTTTAAAAATTTAAAATTTAAAATTTAAAGGTTAAAAAAAAAGCTTGGAGTACTCCGAACCACCATAAATTTTTTGCTCAACAAATACGAAAAAAGATATAAAAGTGGCACTAATCAGCCTGTTCTTCTTGCGAATAAAGAAACAGCAAGCCACGTGGCAAAAACTTTGGTTGCTCTTTCAGCACCACCGACAGATCACGACCGTCGAATGGCTTAGAGCAATTTGGAAAATCGAGACAATCAAGAAGCAAGGGAAGATTGCACAGAACAATTTGGTTCTATCGCATCACCACTGAGAATGAAATCTTCCAATGCCGCCACCACATTATCTGACGCCAGTAGCATTGATAGAACCAAAGTTAGTGGTTTTATATATATATATATACACACACACAGTAGTATTGGACTAAATGTGCAAGGCAGGTTATGATGAGAAAAGTATATTGTTGAGTAATAATACATATAGAGTTTATGTGCCACGCGTTGAAGGTTAGAACAAGGTTCTTATTATTAGTATTAGCCAATTGTAAGATCCCATGTTTCCCTTGAGTATGCCGAGATCAACCACTCGTGCCACAAAGATGGATGCTTGCGTCACTGCCCTCGAAGCTTCGAACTCCAGAATCGAAGAATCATTCCAAAATCTCGCGGTCCAAATGTCCAAATTCATGGCGTCAATGGATACTCATCTTTCGTTGGTCGAATCTCGTTCTGCTACCATGGAAGAACAAGGCTGCGACCATGTGGGTCCGTTGGAATTGGGGGGCAATCCCATTTATTCAGACAAAACCTTCAGCGATCAGAATCTTAATCCCAATTTTCAATTCCAGCATCAAGATCCTCAATTTCGCCATCAAGATTTTCAATTTTAGTTTCGCCAATCGTCGATCAAGCTTGAATTTCCAAGATTTGTTGACGGTGACGATCCCTTAGCTTCGGTGTACAAAGCGGAACATTTTTTTTTTCTTTTTCTCGGTCGCCGACGATCGCAAGGTTCAATTGGCATCCTTTCGCCTTGATCATGAAGCCCTTCAATGGCTTCAGTGGTGGAATTGCCTCAAGAATTTTCCACATTGGCCTGATTTTGTTAAGATTTTCTGTCGAGAGTTCGGCCCTTCGAAGTTTGAGGATTTTTTGGAAGCTTTGGTTCAATTAAAGTAAACTGGGTTGGTTAGGGATTACATCACAGAGTTCAGACGTTTAGCCAATCGGACCCATAAGTTTGCTCAAGTGTGCTTAAAAGTTGTTTCATCGGGGGATTGAAGTCGGAGCTCCGTCATGATGTGAAGCTTATGTGGCCACTGGATGTTTATGAGGCTCAGGCTATTGCCTTACAAATCGATGCCAAACTTGTTGATTCTAAGATGCGATCATTCTCGAAAGCTCCAAATTTTTCTTGGCATAATTCAGTTGGCAATAAGGCTACACCAACCTATACGGATCTAGGTACTCCCAATTCTTCTGTTAATTTTCCTAAGCAAAGCAATGTTAAGAAGATGACATTTGAGGAAATTAGGGAATGCTGGAAAAATGGTCTTTGTGATTATTGTCCCTTGAAATGGTTTAAATGACATGTTTGCCAAAATCAGCAACTTTTACTACTTGATTTGTCTGATAGATCTGAATAGGTTCTTAATGTTAATCATATGGTAGATGGGGATGATGAATTATCGAATGCTCGTATTACTGCTTGTGCTATGTATGGTGTCTCTGCTCCTGATAGTATTCCAACTATGAAGTTCCTAAGGTCTATTAAAAATTGTCCTGCAATGATTCTTTTTTACTCAGGTAGCTCTCACAATTTCATCAACTTTGCTTTGGCCAAGAAGATGGGTTGGATGATAGATCCACTTAAGAAATTTGATGTGATGATTGCCAATGGGGGTACAATTGCCAGTATGGGGAGTTCTCAGGTCAAAATTAATAGTCAAGACTATGAATACATCTTAGATCAAGTCATTCGTAGTTCACCATTCACTACACTCAAGTATTCATAACATAAACCACTATGTCCTAACATAATACCGCAATTCACAACATATCATATCAAAGAACCGACGAAGCACAATACCATTCTTTAGCCACATTAATTAACTAATTTGACCAAAATAATAACAATCATATCCATATCTTCTAAATTCATACTTTATGAATTCATAATTGTATCGTAAAAAATCCCGAAGGAGTCACTTAGACGTCCAACAGTTTTTCTAATTTAATTGACAAGATTCTCGAAACCATTGTTCACAAATATACTAAAACTAAGGCTAGAGTGACACAATGCCAAGCCTACTTCTCCAAAGAATGGGATTTTGGATCACTCAACGAAATCCATTAATATCAGGTTCCGGACCACTCAACTGAACCAAACTAAAATATGATTGCCTATCAAATGTACCAAGTACAACTAATCTTTATCTCCCCTAGAATGCGTATGGTCCCTCATCACAGATATACCAAACAGAACCTAGGCATAATCTCATCGTGCAAGCAATGATCACCCATCGCAGATATATTAAGCATGATCACCCTTGAATACATATGGTCCCCCATCACGGATATACCAAGCATGATCACCCTTGAAATACATATGGCCCCTCATCGTGAATATACCAAGCAAGACCATCTAAGTACCACTGCTACTCAGTGTAATCAGTTCAGCACACAATCTACCTCTACCTTAATCCCTATGATTTACAACGTAGGCACATGCACTATCAACTTCTCATGACCACTAACTATCTTGTCATACAGGCATAAAAGTTCTACATAATACTGCTAATAAGATTACAGGTTCACATCATCATAAAAACAATCATACACATAATACCAAGCTTACAATTCAAACCACATCTCATAAACGTTGCCAAGCTACAGTTGAATCACAATTAATAAACATAGATCGATGGCTAAAAATAAAAATAACAATTCAATAGAAATCACATTTAATAAACATGTATAACTCAATATGTTGCCACTAGGACATAAATCAAGACGCACGTTAACCAAGGAAGACACGTCAACACGATGAGCCCACTAAGCTCCATGAGTTCTTAACAACACTTTAAGATCAATGACACGCTAGAATAACTCAATCTAGTTCACTAAAAAGTCAACCATCGATCAAGATCGAGAGTAGGGTCTTCAAACCTAGAAATATAAACCGAAAGATCCGGCTATCAGATTTCTGATCCGTAACTTGTCAAAGTCCACATTATGCTTCTGGAATAACATACTAAAATTTCATCGAGATCCAACGATCGGATCTCTGTCAATCGCTAAAATTACGTGGCAGCTGATGTTTAGCTTTACAAACTTAGGAAACCAATCCGGGAAGATCCATTCTATGGATTCCCAATCTTTCAATTCCTAATATCCTCAAATATTATATTCTATAACTTATTTAAGTTTGGTGCCGATCCAACGGTCGGATCGTTAATTCATATAATGTCAGAGTGGCGGTCTCTATCAAAACTAGGACTGGAAAAAAAATCCCAAAAATCCCAAACCAAACCGAAAAATCCCGATCCCAAACCAAAATTCCAGAAATTTTTGGTATAGGATTCGGTTTTGCATCTCAATTTTTTCGGTACTCCCATACCGAACCGAAAATAAATATTATATATATATTTTTAATTATAAGAGAATTATTTTAACCGTTCATTGTTTTTTATTTAATCTATGTCGTTCATATGTTTTTAGGTCAAAATCCCATTTCACAGTTCACTTTCGTTCCATTGTTTCAACTTTCTATCGAATAGTTGAGCCCTAATCTCGTCTGTGATCTCTCCCTCACTGAGCCGGCAAGCCCTCATCTCATCTCTCTCTTTGTGACGAATTCCGGCCAGCCACCGGCCCACCACCACACCCGACTCTCCAGTCTTCCTACGCCACACATCCACCTCTACGCCACCGCTCTCACTCACTTCTTCCTCGGCCTTTCCTTCCACAACCCACGGTCCACCTCAAGCATCCTCTTCCTTTTTCTCCTTCTTATTCTTCCTCCACCTCATGTAAAAAAGTTCATAACTTTCGCGTTTCTTACTCGTAAATTTAAGACTGTTTGGATGTATTTGTCATTCTGTTTTATTAATGTTTAGGATTTAAACAGTTTG